CCCAGTCAGGGCACATGCCTGGGTTGCAGGCCAGTTCCCAGCAGGGGACTTACGAGAAGCAACCATACATTGATATTTCTCTCCTTCCCCTCCTCTCTAAAGATAAAGAAATAAAATCTTTTTAAAAAGAAATAAAAGGAAAAATGTTTCTGGAGTGAGCGAATGGAAGAGAGCAGAGTTAGGGTGCTCTGCTCTCTAAGGGCCTCAGCTTTCTCGGAGGAGGAGGAGGGGGTAAGGCTGAGGACTGAGGGAAGGGGGCATTGAAAGGTCCTTGAGGAGTAGGTGACTGTTTTGGAAAATGGGGGGATCAGGGAGCAAGGAGAAGTTCAGTGCAGTGGTCCACACCTTCACAGGACTTTCTGGAGCAGAGCCCTCCACCTGGGTGAACACAGATGGTGGTCTGTGTGGTGACCCAGGGGTCGGGTTTCACCTTAGGCATAGGTTTAGTGTTACAAAGGCATTTCAAAGAGCTGAAGAAAGTGGTCCAGGGGAGCAACTAGGGAACCAGCTTCTTGGGAAAGCACTGAGGAAGCAGGTGGGAGATGGAAGGAAAAGGAATTGACCAGAGGTCAGGTCCTCAGGGCAGAGATGACCGAAGTAATGGTGGGGGCCGAGGGGCGGGGCACACTGAAGGCTACCGGGTCACTGTTAGAAGGTGAGTATTGAAATTTAAGATAGATGTGTATCAAACACAGGCGATGACAAATTCCAGGGTGTGGTCAGGATTTGGGGGGGACCCAAGGGCAAGTTTCCATAAGGCTTAAGGCGTGGTTAGCCCTGTATTTGTACCCATCCCCAGTAGCTGTCAGAGAAAGAGATGCTGGAAATGCATGTTTTCTGTGAGCCACTGTGTCTCTAGTCCCAGAAGAATCTGTTTTAATGGGGACAGACCTTTTAGGATCTTTCTATTGTGTTAATCAAACCTCTGGAAACTGACTTACTACTAAACTGCTGCTCAACTGGGTGCCCACTACGACACTAGTGCCCACCTCCGATTCTTTTTCATGCTCTTCAGACTTTTTAAAAAGTCTGCAGTAATTAACTGGGTGTAGGGAGCAGTTATCTGTGTTGAAGAAACTTCATGGGATTAGGGATATTCACATCCAAAGATGAAAGAACATATATAAAGCAATACAGGTATATAGAGTATGAAAGTTCAGATAATAACCACAAACATTTCTGTAGCATTTCTAGTGTACCGGTTGCCGCTTCAAGGACTTTGCATATCTGAACTAAATCTCCTCAACAGCCCCTTGCAATAGGTACTATCATTATCTCCATTTTATAGATGAAGAACTTGAGGCCCAGAGAGGTCAAACGACTTGATAGAGGTCACACAGCTAATTAAAGGCAGAGCCAGGATTTGATCCAAGGTAGTTACGGCAAATACTGTAGGGAGGCACTTAGGACTTTTGCCTTCCCAGGAGGAAACAGAGGCTGTTGAACTGCTTTGCTGCAGGCTAATAAGCAGTGGAGCTGCAGTCCCACCCACGGCTGTCTGAGCTGTTAACCTTTAAGCCACGGTGGCTCTTTCCTCCAGACGGTGACCTTCAGTGGTGAACATGATCTCTGGCCTCTGCAGTCTCCCTCTGCGGAGGGGCAGCCCCGGGAAACCTGGGCAGTGGCAGAGTGGTTGCTCAACAGGTGTTTGTGGAATCAACAAATAAGTGAGGGTTGCCACACTCCCCGGTGTCACAGTTGGCCCGCAGGGTGTGTTGTACGGTTGAGTAATTCCCGATAAAGACAGGAACGGGGTGTTTATAAGCTGCCCGTAGCGGCAGACAATGCAGACAGGAATGCGGAGGAGAGAAATCAGGAGCCCTGAGGAAAAGGGCCAGCAGCTGCTGCCAGCAGGTGCTAGGACCCTCAGGCCTTTCGGCCAGCAGGGCTGCATGGCAGGGGCTCGGGCGGCCGGCCTGCCTGCATCCCCCTTTTCAGCCTCACGCTCAGCTGCGAAATCCCAAAGGGGTACCTCAGGCCCTTAATAAATATTCATCCAACGTTTGAATGAGTAAATGCAAGGGTGGTGGCATATTTAAAGTCCATCCTCACCCTCCTCACCCACCACACCTCTTTAGTCACTGCTAGATAAAACTCTCCGCTCCTGGTGACTGTCACCCGAGGAGGAGCCTGGTTGCAGTGGCCTCATCAGCCTGCAGGAGCAGCGGGAGCCATGCCCAGGTTCACGGTGCACGTGCGCGGGGAATGGCTAGCCGTGCCCTGCCAGGACGCGCAGCTCACGGTGGGCTGGCTGGGCCGCGAGGCCGTGCGAAGGTACATGAAGAACAAGCCAGACAACGGAGGCTTGCCCTCCGTGGACGAAGTGCGCTTTCTTGTGCGCCGCTGCAAGGGCCTGGGCCTGCTGGACAATGAGGACCCACTCAACGTGGCCCTGGAGGACAATGATTTCGTGGAAGTGGGTGAGTGGCAGGAGGGGAGCAGTGCTAACTGATGCCACACGACACGGCTTAGTGCTCACGTCCCTGGCGGGGAGGTCCCGTCCTCATCCCCAGTGCCCGGAAACTGTGCGGTTTCTGTTAGGCCTCCGTGTGCCTTAGATTCTCACCCCTGGGAGAAAGGTAGCTTCTAATCACCGTCCCCGTTTTAAAACAGGGCAACGGACTGCCAAAGGGAGTCAGTCAGGCCATTGGTAAGAAGCAAAGATCAGATCTGCTGGTCTGAATCCCTTGCAATTATTGAATTACTTTGTCTTATGTGATTATTATTATTTTTTTTAGAGAGAGGGGAGGAGGGGGAGAAAGAGAGGGAGAGAAACATCAGTGTGTATTTGCCCCTAGTGCATCCCTACTGGGGACCTGACCTGCAACCCAGGCATGTGCCCTGACTGGGAATCAAACCGGTAACCCTTTGGTTCGCAGTATTCAGTCCACTGAGCCACACCATCCAGGGCTTATATAATTATTTTTATGGACTTAAAGAAGATCTTCTTGCCCTTCAAAACACTCTCACCAGATGAAGAGGCCAGTGGCATGGAGGAGTTCAGATTTGTAAATCAAAATAAAGCTGGGATGGGAATAGTGGTGGGGTTAGATCTTGAACTTTCATTTAAGCCTGGGTCCACCCACATCTCTGTTGTTCACCGTCCTTCCTCGTAAAGATGCTAACAGCACTTGAAAGTATCTGAAGTCGTTTTAAAGCAGCCATTTTGATAGACTTCAAAGGCAATTGAAGAGACCTTCCTCGGTTTAGCAGCCAGGCCCAAAGAGCCTCTCCGTCGTGATCAGTCAGGGGTCATTCTCGCGTTCTTGTTTCAGTCATTGAAGGCGATGCCATGTCTCCCGACTTCGTTCCATCGCAGCCGGAAGGAGTTTACCTGTATCCTTTTCCCGCAGGCTCTTGCCGGTGGTGGGGCTGGGGCTCTCCCACACTCCCCCGTATTTTCCTTTATCTGGCTTCAGATACAGCAAATACCGAGAGCCTGAGAAGGTAAGCTTCGAGCCACTCTCGCTTCATTAAGAAAATGAAGTCCCCCTCGTTTAAGGAGAGTGAGCAAAATTTACGAGCAAACGCTGTGCCTTGGGACAGGACTTTGTCCCACTCTGGGTAGTAGGGAAAGGTGTTCTGCTTTTCCATTTCTAACGTTCCTTACTCAGCCTCCTCTTCAGTGAACTGTCTTCGAAATTAGTATATTAATTAGCAATAATAAAATTTCTGAAGTGTCTGACTTTCATTCTGCTTGAGGCTTCCCTACTCTCTTGTTCGAGCAACTAAGCTGTTCAACTTCATGGAGATCCACTTCCTTTGTACAGTACGTTGCCCTGGATGGGGATAGCCTGACCACGGAGGACCTGGTCAGCCTGGGCAAGGGGCACTACAAAATAAAGGTAAGAGGAAGGGAGGGGTGTCCTCTGGCCTCTTTTGCTACGTGTGGAAATCTTCAATGTGCTCAGCTCTGACCGATGTTTTCCTAGCTCACTCCAACCGCTGAAAAGAAGGTGCAAAAGTCCAGGGAAGTCATAGACAGCATCATAAAAGAAAGAACTGGTATCTTTTCCCCTTCGTGTCATACATTTATTTTTATAGACTTAAAAATATGGCCTTAAAAAAACTGGACCTAGTTGGGTAATGTCTGGGTTGTTTTGTTGTTGTTTTATTCCAGTTGTTTACGGCATTACTACAGGCTTTGGGAAATTTGCCAGAACCGTAATTCCTATCGATAAGCTAGAGTAAGTTTGATTCCTGCTCTCCCCACCAAGTGCACCCTCATTCACATGCTGGCTACGCCCATTTTTCAGATTCAGCAAAGGAAATAACATTTGCCCCAGTTTACGGATGAGTGGGATGAGTCTTGGGTTGACTTGCCCTTGAGTTGGTAATGAAAACACAGGCATACAAGTTTCTTTCATTGCCTCACACTGCCTCCCTCTGTTCCTCCAAAGACCGAACTGTCGCCCCCTTCACGTCCCCAGAGGAGGGCGCGTTTTCACCATGAGGTATCTAAGCGGGTTGTTTCCCTTTCTCTCTCAGGGAGCTCCAGTTCAACCTAGTCCGTTCGCATTCTTCAGGTAAATCCTTGCAAACGTTGGGGGCCTCTGAGATCTTGTTTGATTGGTGGAATGAAGCCTGATGCGTCCTGTATTCCAAGGGTGGAGGCTTCAGGGGAGGAGGAAAGCAGAACGCATCAGACAAGACCACCTTCCAGCTGAAGCTCAGAGAAAGGAATGGGCTCGGTAGAGGGACAGGATTGAGAGCAAAATTAAAGCTGAAAGTCAGGGAACGAGTCGACGCGGATGAGTTGAGATCGGACGGTCTGTCAAGAGTCAGCTCCCATGAGAAGGCGAGGCAACATTTGCTGCGGAGTCTGCACACTACTTGGAGGGGGTCAGGTGTGGGGAGTGGGGGTGCTCACTGAAGTGTTCCAAGAAGGGAAACTGAGAAGGCAACACTGGAGTTTCACCTCTGTCGGGAAGACGAGACTTGAAGAAGCAAGTCAGTCAGGAGGGAGAGCGGTCCCACCATCTGAGTCAAGAGTGAAGAAATGGTCATTGCCAAGGCTTTTAGAACGCAATGCCTCATTTGCCGTGGACATGACCGCAGAACATGTTCTTACAAGGTTTTCTTTCTGCTACACTGCTTGTGTTCAGCCTATTGGGAATATTTTATTAACCCTTACTTATTTTCATTGCCTAGGTCAGCCCTGTCCAATATAAATATAGCACAAGCTTTGTGTGGTCTTGTAATACCCATTGGTAATTAGTAGGATTATTCTAATGGCTGTCTTAGGAGGAAAAACAAACTGAGAGATGAAGGCAGCCAGGAGGTGGAAAAGATTTTGTTTTTCCATTGTTTTGTAGGTGTCGGAAAACCACTAAGCCCTGAGAGATGTCGGATGCTCTTGGCATTAAGGATCAATGTCTTAGCCAAAGGATACAGTGGCATTTCCCTGGAGACCCTCAAACAAGTTATCGAAGCATTTAATGGTAATGCAGTGGGCCCCCGACTGGCCCTCCATTGAGGCTGGGCACATCCCTTAAGGTAGACTTGATTGATGGGAGGGTGAGAAATTGGATGAGACAGGAAGACATAAGACAATGGAGATGGATGGAAAATGGGCTTGGCAAGAAGGACGATAGCGAGGCGGGGGGACTGGCCCAGACACTTTCTCTTGTGTACTTCAACCCACGCTCCATCATTCTTCACCTTGTACTTGGCATCTTTAAGACTGGAACCAGCTCCGCAAGTCTGACCTTACATTCAAGGGTGGGGAGAACTCTGATTCAGTGGTGCCCAAGGGTGCTTACAGAAGTAGCAACCCATCATCAGGAAATGCCATGGCTTCTGGGTGTCAGTCCCAGAGACTGATTCAGTCGTTCTGGTTGGTGCCCAGGAATCTGAAATCTTAATGCTCCCCAAGTGGTAAGATTGCCAGACTTGAATAACTGAAATCCCCCCCCCCAAAAAAGAACTGAAAAGAGATTAAAGACTTGCTTGCAGTTCAAACTTTTTGGAGCTTACTTCCTGGGATAGGAAAATTCCAATACGGAGACAAACTTTGAAATGCTTGAGAGGCCGTTGTCCATTTTCACAGATACAGATAAACATTCCAGGTCAGCAGAGATCCGGGGTCTCTTTGGTGTGAAGGAACGGGAGGAAAAGCAGGGCCGGGCAGTCACACAGACAGGAACGCATGCCAGAGCTCCCACGCTATGGACACAGGGACCCCACACGTGATGAGCCCATCAGTGAATAGCAATTTGAACAAACAATCCATAGTATACAGGGCTGTGCTTTCAACACCTATTTCTACCCCCTTCCTGGTCTGCCTTACAATCCCAGCTAGTACAAACTTAGCCGTGAACCCACCTCTGCACACTTTATGGGTGCGTCTAAGGTATTTCTGGGGACCCGGAGTGCTGAAAATGCCCCAGGGTGAACTCTGATCTGGAAGCTGGCCTGGGGGGCGGCGCGGCTTTTTCCCATTGACATTATTTAGCAGTTTGCAAAACACTGCTGTTAGGAGTCCGAGTTTACTTAGGAAGACAAAGCCTCGTTTTCTGGTAACTTATTGGGAATTTCCTACAAAACAGTACAGTCCGTTCACAAGCAGCAGTGAGGTGGCAATAAGAAGAGACTGAGTTGCCTATGACTTCACCTCCCCAGGACACCATCCACACTTGGGTGAACCTTATCTTTCTGGCACATTTTATATTCCTTTTCTAAAGCCAATATTTACACATTTCCAAACATTCTCTGATAGGTTTTAATGGCCACACGCAACTTTCAGTTGTAGGGAGATCTCTTAATTCCTTAGTTAGATCATTTTCTAACTTTTTGTTCTTAAAAACAAGGCTATAATGACCCAGCTAGTTTTTTTATTACACCTTTCACATACATTGCTAGTATTCTAGAAATTTCTAGGTCAGATTAGAGCGTGCACAGGAACAGTAAGTGAAGGAGCCGAAGGGGAAGAAGACGTCAACAGATCATCTTTACGGGGATTCAGGCTCCAAACCGCCTCTCTCCCCTGCAGCCTGACCCTGATTGCTTCTCTGTACACAGTTACTGCCCCACCCTATTCCCCCCCCCCGCCCCCACCCCGCCAGCTTCCCACAGTGAATCTGGGCAGGTCCCGGCCGAAACCTGCAATGGCGCCTATCTTCCATAGGAGAAAGTCTACCTTACAGCGGCCTGCAAGAGAAGGAAGGGTTCTCTTTCCTTCCTGCTCTCTCTTACTCCCTTCCCTCACTTTTTTCTTCCTTTCTGCCTTTCTTTCTCCCTACCCCTTACCTCTTTCTATAGCACCTCATCTAGGTACCTTAAGTATTATTAGTTGTGCTTGAGGAATTGTCTTTACCTGGGTATTTGTATCAGAAGAGGGTAGTAAACCCTACAAGGGGGAGGTGGGTCTCATTAGCAAAGTGAGGTTGGCCGGAATGAAGTTCTCCTGGAGTAACTGGCGTCTGTTCCCCTCCCAGCCTCCTGCCTGTCCTATGTTCCAGAGAAAGGAACCGTCGGTGCCAGTGGAGACCTGGCTCCACTCTCTCATCTTGCTCTTGGGCTAATTGGAGAAGGGAAGATGTGGTCTCCAAAGAGCGGCTGGGCTGACGCTAAATATGTAAGACTTGAACAATAACGTCCATCTGTAGGAGTTTTCCTGGGCTGGACGCCGGGTGTATGGCATGCTCTATATCACTTAGTCCTTACAGCAACCCCGTGACGGGGCCACAGGTATCCCTAATATAGATGAGAAAACTGGAGCTTAGAAGTCAAACTAGGCATCCATACCCAACTGTCAGCCTCTGGACTTGGCGATATCCTTGATGGAAAGGTCCAGTTGCCAGTGTTGATCCTAAGAATTTCTTCTGCACTTAAAACACTTCCGGTGCCTATTCAGGAGGTCACATATTGTCACAAGTTGACTTAGTTGCTGGTCTCACAGGTACTGAGCTGTGGATTATGGCACTTACTCTGTAGCCTCTGGAAAGAAGGTTCTGTTTTCCCCCCAAGCTCCCACCCTGGAGACTAATCAGACTTATTTTTGATAAAGCTTTAATATTTTCTTCATTCATCTCCAAATTCCATGACAGCAGCCTGAAATTTAAAGTGCCATCTCTGTGCTACATCCTGGGCAGAGAGAGCAGCGTGGGTCCTTCTCTTCCCCACTCACTCCTGCATCTCCTTCTCACACGTCCCCTGGGAAACTCCCCTCTCTGCTCCTCTGGTTCCTTTCCCTACCCCCAAATCACCTTTGCTCCTTCTTTGTGTTCGCCTAGCATCTTGTACTCACTTCTCACCTCCTGGAACACTTAACATTCTGCACTGTAGTTACCCTTGAGCTTGTCTGTATCTATTTTTCCTACCCTAGCCCCAGCCCAGCACTCCGAACAGAGTTAGATGTGTCAATGGTACTATAAGAAACCTGAGAAATTGACACAGGAAGTGGTGCTGGCTCTGTCTTCCTCCTTCCCCAGAGGGACCTTCACTTATTGATGGTGTTTACTTCTTTTATCTCAGAGAGAGATTATTTGGCCCATCTCCCCTCAGGATTTTGTTTCCATCTATTAGGCCAACAATCTTCCTTTCAGTGGTGCTCACACATGTGCCATACAAGCGAGAAGCCCTACTCTGAGGTTCTGCCAGTGTTTAGATGTGGAGGAAGACTTTTGGGGTTAAGCTCCGCAGGCGGGGAATGTGCAGACGGCCAGAAGCCCAGCCCTTCTGCAGTACAGGTGTGCATATGTGCTCAGGAAGCTGCAGGAGAGAGGTGAATCACTGAGTGGACACGTAACACAAAGGGCCTAGAAACCAACACTCAAGGCTGATTCTGTAGACACCAGAGCCCCTGATTTAAGTATAAAAATCATGTGAAAGCTACGTCTCCTTTCAGACTAAAGAACAGAGCTAGAGAATACACCAGAGATGATAAGTAGAGCTAATCCATGTAGGTCTAATCTTTTATAAGACAGACCTTCGGGCTTAAAGATCTTTCATTGGCTTCCTCATGAAATTAGTAATAAGCTAGTATTTTGCTTGTTACCCATTTTCATTTTTTAAAACCATTCTTTAGGTCCTGAAAGCCCATGGATTGAAACCAATTGTTTTGAAACCAAAAGAGGTAAGGAGATCCAAGGAAAATTTGTTCATATCAGCAAGTCTTTATTTATGCACTATTTTCATTCTTAATATCAATCTCACTGATTTTTTTAAATGAACAGGGCTTACATGTTTGTTAAAGTTGGCCACTGAAGAAACAACTCCTCCATAAGTATTTAAAGATACTTCATGCCATAAATGTTTAGGGGTTCTCTTACCTAAGAACTTAAACTTTAAATCAGAGTTTCTGGGGATCTAGGGATCCCCAAGAGGTGCTCTAAGCCAGCGACCATTAGGATTCTGTAAGCCAAGAGTCTGGGGCCAGAAATGTTTTAGGGTATCTTGTTTCTAATGATGAGAAGTTAAAGAAGAAATGTGGCATAATTAAGAGCTAAAGATTTTATATGCCTTCTGTGTTGGAGCTATTCTGCTGCCTTGAGAATGGCGGTACTTAGCAGCTGTCTTATTTATAGTAAGTTTATAGAGTTATAGTAATGATTTCACATAGGATGGCACTTAGTTCTCAAGTGCTTAAGTAAGCATTACTGCCCTACACTTCAGAAGACGTGACAAAAGCATCGTTTTGCTCACTGGCCAACTTCCCTCCTACAGAAGCAAATGGTACTAAATCAACTTGTACACAGGTTTGTTACAGAGAAAACAGTAGGAACCTTCTTTCCCCTGCCTCAAAGGGTCTGGCGCTCATCAACGGGACACAGATGATCACCTCCTTGGGCTGCGAAGCTGTGGAGAGAGCCAGTGCTATTGCGCGGCAGGCTGACATAGTGGCGGCCTTGACCCTTGAGGTGCTGAAGGGCACCACCAAAGCCTTCGATACTGGTCAGTATGGTTCCTCTGTTTGGCCGCTGTTCATTCAGCCAGAGCTGGTGGGGTGGGCTGGTCGAGGTCTTTAGACCCTGGAGAAGTGGGGTGGGTGGCAGGGAAGAAGGAAGAAACTCAAGAGCCTGCTGCATACCCAGTACTTCTCCAGCTTTATCTAAATTCTGCCACACTGGACCCTTGAAATGACCACATTTTACAGACAGACACTGACCCTGAGAGTTAAG